GGCATGGTAGATCATTTGCTGGATCTGTCAATGTGTTTTTGTAAGGATTTTTATGAAGTTTAGAAATCCTTATAGGTAGGGTAGATCGAAATCTCCGTCGTTGACTGGAATGTAAAAAGTATTTATGACTGAAATGAGATTTTGAAGAATGTTAAATTATCCTTAGAAAGTGAAATGTAAGTATAAGTTGGATTTCCAGATGTAGAATTTATACAAAGTTCTTCTAAAATGCAGTTTTTACAATGAGCCTTACAAACAAAGACGATATCGCAAGAAGCCTTGTTTGCAGGAACCATAACATATTGTTAATGTAGATCTTTATAAATCTTTCATCACCTCTGATTTAGTGAACTTGTATATATTTTGAATCAGCCCCGATACTATGTGCCAAAGAGTTACGTGCAGATAACACATGCATGGGTTCGAACCCAGACCGAGACAAACTTGGGTCCATAAAAAATAGGTAGCAACAGTTCCTTCGCAGTTTGGACGTTGCACGCTACCCCTCCCCCATACACACAGCTGATTGGTTTGAAGCCCTTTATCGGCATTCAGTGACGTTTAACTTGCAAGGGACGTATAACTACAAACAATCAAAAGAAATATTTATAATAATATTAACAAACAAAAAACATTTCTTTGCTTCCTTTTTGTGATCGCAATGTGACAACGTGAGCAATGTTTTGAAAAACAAAAATTTTATAAAAATTCGTTGGCAAATTTTATTACATTTGACCCAGATCTTCTGGAGAACGTATGTGGATTCAAAAATGATCTCTCCCTATTTCTTCATCCTACTTCTTAACCATTCTAAAAGAGCATGGTCATTTATTTGAATAAAAAAACACCCCTACCAAAGAATATAGTATGCTAAGTTTGACTTTTGAATACTCTCAAATGTACTGAAGTCCATTTAGGACCTATCAAAATATTTTTGAATTCGATTTAACGAATTACAAAAATTGATAAACTTATTAAAACGAATTCAATTTGCTATATCATTTTTTTAAATCAGTTATTACGAATTTAGTCTGTCACAACGAATGATGAATTTGTTACGAAAATTTTCGATTTTTTTTTATAAAGAATTAAATTCTTTTCAAAGTATTCTTAAATTTGTTATAGCAAATTAAATTCCTTTAAACGAGTTCGATAATTTGTTACATCGAATTCATTAATATTTTCAATTCTTTATTCACTCAAAACCAGATTACTGGTACAAGAGGAACATATACACATATATACAAACAAAAATTACAGTCAAGGGTAAAAAAATAGACAGGTATATAAAGAAAAAAGAAAAGAAGTAAACATATAATCAGTTATATATATGGAGGATTCAAGAAGGACAGACAGTTTTGAAGATTTTCTTAATAAATTTTGACAATGATTTTTGTATTTCTACATTATTTGTGTTCATTAGTTCATTAAATTTGAAAGTGTTAGGATTTTTACAATATCTATTTTGGAGAAATATTTTTCTGTCATTCGAAAGGAACTTGCATTCCATAACATAATGAAATTCATCACCAATAGTTTTACAATCACAAATGGTACATTTGGTGCAAGAGGTCCTAAATGTCGAAATCGATTAAACGAATTTAATTTGTCATAACAAATTTAAGAATTCGATTAAACGAATTTAATGCCTTATTACAAATTTTGAAATTCGATTAAACGATTTCGACAAAACTGTTATCACAGTGATAACAAAAGTGCATGACAATTATACCCGTTATGTAGTATGCAATTTTTTTTTTTGGACAGTTGCTTATTTAAAAGTATTTACTCATCCTCTATATCTTGTTCGATGCAGATTGGCCTCTTCTGATATGTTTGTGCTTGCAACTTTTTATGTATTGCGTGAGGACAAACGAATTTTAATGATGCATCTAAATTAAAGTATCTGTTCTTACAAACTTGGCTAATTGAGAAATATGAGGTGGCGATAAAGTCCTTGCTGCATTGCTGCAATGAAATTGAATGTACATGTACCCTATGAATATATATTGCATAAAAATGACTAAGTTCACAACAACTTGTATTTTCTCCATGAATGATCATAAATGAAATAAAATGCCAGGTACCATGCTCAACTCTAATATATGTATACAATTGATTTGCCAAAAAAACACACACACACACACACACACAAACACCCTCACACACACACACACACACACAAAAGCAGACTTCCTATCTTTAGGTTTTATGAGGAGCTATCCGGACAAATTATGTACCCTTTAAGTAATATTTTACACAAAAATGACGAAGTTCAACAATTAAAGTGTTTTTTTCCTCATAAATTTTCAAAAATCAAAGTCCAATTAACATGCACATTTCTAATATATGTATACAATTGATCATCAAAATATAATTTCCTGTCTTGAAAACTGTAGGGGGAGTTATCCGGAGAAATGATGTAACCTTTTAGTAGCCACCCGCCCATCATTTTCACTATTTCCGATGGAATACCCACCATTGATAAAGGGAGAGTACCATCCAAGGTTTTGAAGCAGGTGTCCACTCCCTTTAAAACATTGTCAATAAAAAATATGCAAACAGAAAAATAAATATTGCATTTATTGCACTTATTATTGGGAGAATTAATAACCCTTTTAGTTAATAAAATGTTACAGCAGTAATTTTTTCAACCGTGTCTTTTTTTTCATTTTCTACATATCATTTTCTGTTTTTAGTATTGAACAAGGAATTCTCATTTTACAATTTGTAATGGTAAATGCCAGGATTGAACAAGTAATGAAGCCAATCAAATAGCACGTTACAATCAGAATTAACTTACTGTACATGATTTGATGATAAAAAGAAGCAAATGAAGTTGAATTAAGTCAATATCGTGGGTTTTTATTGGGGTGTATTTTTTGGGTTTGATTTTGTTTTGTTTTCTTAATTTTTAAAAAAAAAAATAATTTTTGGCAATTGTAATTCTTTTATGTAACACTTTTAAAAAATGCTTCCATCATTACCATATCTGCAAAGTACTCTTGAAAACCTACGTTTAATGCTTTTTCTTGAAGGCTATATCGTTTCCTTCAGGAATCAAAATTAAGAAACAAAATATTAACACCACCTCGCTCTCCCAGGAGTGGTCGACACATGTACGCCTAGAACCGACCAGATTTTTCTGAGACCCGTTCGTCTATTTTTTTTCCCTTTAATCCTTCTTAAGAAGAGTTAATTACCACTGTTCAAAGGTCTGTGTAAATATCCTTAATGACAACTAAGCCTTGAGTAAATATTGCCTTTATCTCGCTAATTCCAGGAATGATTTCAAGTGAATCAAATCTTCGACTGCTCATTACTGATTCCGGACATTTACATCAGAATAGGATTTCAGCCTCCCAATTTTCCCAGTTTTTGAAAATATTAAAATATGACCGAGTTCGTCATGTCAATTCCTAATCAGTGATTCATTTTAACTATTTCTAGCATGTTGACATTAGTTTTCTTTAAGCACATGCATGTACAAAAACTCATTTTTTTCAAGAAAAACACATGAATTTAATATTTTCCATATTTCTTACAAACACAATGGTTGAGAGTTAAAAAAGACATCTTTTTGAACAAGAATATCAAAGTTTATAACAATAAACATTACTAGAGGAATCAGAAAAATTATATCTTTTAACATAGACTATATCAAGACAACAAAAATAAAGGCAACAAAAATAAATCAGCATTTCTTAGACAATACCGTAGCAATGAAGAGCTCAAGTGTGTGAGAAAACTGAAATCTATGATTATTACCAAGTGAAAAAATTTGAAGACACCCCCTTCCCCTGCCCCGCAAAAGAGAGAGAGAAAAAAAATGAGAAAAGAAGAAAGAGATTTTTTTTTCTTTTATAACTTACTATGCAGAATCATAGCGAATAAGCTTAAGAGCTGGTGATTTATGTACTTTTTAACTTGCTTGGGTTTTTTTTTTACTAACATCTATCCCTTCTCTCAAAAAAGTAGAGAGAGAGAGAGGGAGAGAGGGAGAGATTTCATTTTATAATCATATTGCCAAATGAAAACTTTAAACTTATAATTCGTAAAATATTTCAAAATAATTATAATGTGCAAAGAATACAAAAAAGTCATACTTCAAAAATGAGAATGTAATATATTATTGATAATGCTATTCAAAAAATCAAAATCCCTATTCTTAGTAATCCTTTAAACAAATGTATACATTTTTTTTTTTTTTTTTTTTTTTTTTTTTTGAGATTTTTTTTTTTTTATTTTAGGTTTTTATGAAATAAATCAAAAGTTTTTTGAAGACGGACAATCGATTCATCACTCCATATGTTGCTATGTTTTTAATTATTCATCTTAATGTGTTTTAAATTTTGATCCCATTGTGTGTGGGATAAGATCGTATTGGACAGAGGATTAAATCATTTAATTGTAAATGTTTCTAAATGAGATCAAGCACGTTTTTATACATCACAGAGCCGCTTATTTAAATAAAATAACAGAGGAAAAGCTTATGCTAGAAATTGACTCCTCAAAATCCAATTAATGGACTAAATAAAGTTTTATTTTCTATTTGAAAAAATACTTCAATCCGTCACGGATGATTTCTTAGGATAAACTTTGCTGCCGGCTTCGGTTTATTTTCCACATCAAACAAGTGCACTGAACGACGGAGAATGTTTACATATTTTGTTTATTTTCACAGAAAATCTTTCTTCGAACCTTTGAATGATCGCCTAATTTTCTCTTCAGTGTTATCAATTAGCTTTATATCCAATTAAAGACACCTCGAGAAAATCAGTTGTCAGTCTCCGATATCCCTCTGTTTTTCATCCATCTGCGAACACGCGTCAATTTTAGGATGTCTTGCACATGCGCAGTAGTAGTCAAAAAGAATAAATTGATACAGTATACATTTCACACGAACCAATCAAAAAGGTGTAACAATTTCTACAATTGCGAGTCAAGGGACGGCCCCCTTTTCACAAACGTTCATCTATATCTCTCAGTTCTTTTGAGAATTTTAACACTTTATTTACACCGCTATCAGATAAAGTAGGAATTCATTTTTGTTACCCTAAAATGTCGTCGCCGAAAAAAGACGACAAATTGTCGCCATCAGAGGAATCTAAAAATGAAAGTAGTGATGCTGTAAAAGAGAGACTGCAGGGGCAGGAAGACAATAATGAGGACAATTCAGAAACAGTGCGGACCACTTCTTTCTCTGTGGCCGACATACTGGACCCTCGGAAATTTACGGGATGTTCGGTGACGGAAAAATCTCGAGTGTGGACTCCATGGAAAGACCGGAAGCGGCGGCTGACGGACAGTGGCGAAAGTACCTCAGATGACGACAGAACGGAAGGGCCAGGTACATATATAATGTATACAAGGGTTAGGGGGGTAGGGAGAGGAAACCAAACATTTGGTTGTTTTATACAGTAATATTTCAACCAACCAAAACAATACAAAAGGAAAATAATTTTATTCTTCCCCTTTAAATTTAATAATTATGCTATTAGTTTCATGTTATCTCGTATTTTCACTTTTTTCGCCGTGTTTTAAAGTCTGTTCAAATCGTAAGAATATTTGATTTTGATTAATTTCATATATTTTTGTTTTTGTTTTATTTTCAAGTTATTGTTTTTTTTAGTATATATATTTTGTTTTGTTTGTTTTCCAGTTATTATTATTTAGTACATTTTTTCTAAATATCCTTAGTTTATCTTTGCAGAAAAAAATTCTGTTTGGTATTTTATATACTTTCAAAAATATTTGATTCTGTTTGTTTAATTATTAAAATTTTCTAAATATTCCGCGGGGAATTCTTACTATGACATCTTCATTAGACGAATTAACGAAGCGGCTTCCCTTCGTCATTAATTAATTAGGACATGTTGCTAGATAAGAAGACTTGAAACATTAACCACACTTAACAGTGTGGTGGTCATTAGTTAAGATTTGTCCTAATGAAGATAAGCCAAATTAAGAGTCGCTGTTGACGCGATAACGGTCATTTCTGCCACACCAGCGCCCCCTGCTGGGAAACTGACACTTGGTACAGACGGGGACTCAATAAGTTTACGTCATAATGGAGAAACACAAAAACTCCAAATATTCCCCTATCTTAGAAGATTCCCAATGTGACAAGGTTTATTAGAGAAATTTTACAATCGATTTAGTTCTAATTTATGGTTAATTGGTTTATTAGTATACAACAAAGATCTCCAATCGTTCTTATCTGGATTAGATAATTGAATAAGTAATTGGCTGAAGATTTCCTGGAATATCAAACATTTTTACTCTCAATATTTTCGAAAACCCTTGAAGATAAAGAGAATGTCTGTCTTTTATCGTTACTATTTGAGATGCCAGAATACGGAAGCATTATCTAATTACCCCCCAAAACCCCACAGCGGCTAAATATGATTAGTGTGCATTATGCACAAATAGCATATAATAATTATTTTAGCAATTCATCGATAATTGATGTTAATACTTGTGTTACTATAACTTACGATGGCACACACCTTGTATGTTTCCTTGCCCAGATGTAGGTATAATAAGTTATCTTTGTTGGGGTTGTACTGAAAATGTAAACAGAGAGACAGATTTTGAAAAATAAATCAAACAGTGTTTACAAAAGCAAGGAAACAAATTAAAATATGGCGAGCGCGTTGACTGTCTGGAGGCGAAAGCATGTGTGTCCCATACCGTCCCAGGATGAAACACCCCCTCTCTTTCTTTCTGCTTCATTTAAAACTCTCTCACATTTGTCGTTGTCTGTCAGTTTCTGATTTTTGATGAAAATTTAACGTTAATCTGTCCCATACTTGTAACCAGATTTGCAGGATTTATCAAGTCATGAAATAACTTTTGTTTAAAATGAATGGAAATTCAAAAATCGTGAAAAATATTTTAATTTTATATTAACTTGAAAAAAAAGGGGAAAAAATGATCGTGATGGAAAGCGAATTTCATTACGGAATAGAAAATAGGAACGTTTTTATAATTGAGCTATATATCAATATTGCCAAATTTGTTTGAAAATGAAATGTTCAAAACGCAGTTTTCTTTTCAAATTCTTCAATGGACCAGGGGGACAGTTTTTAGCGAACAATTAAGATAATTTATATAACATGAGATAGTATTTTATGCAATTTCCCGGGCTATTACCCGTTCCTGTGCAAAACCATCCAGAGTAAAAATTTGTGGTATTTTATTGTCATCAAGACACCCGTTTACGTTAATAGCTTGTCATAATAATACATTACGTTTGATATCTCTATCAAGAAGTTTGTCACATATGTCAAATTTAATGTTTAAGGCATCAAATGACACAGATGTTCCTGCTATTCAACACTGTTGTATATTAATTATACAAAAAACGCACTCGTTTCTTCTGCCTTATTTTCTTTTGTAAATTGAGGTAAATAGAAAGCCTTATATAAATTGGCAATAAATTTTGTATTGTAACTTCCATTTAATTTTGTTTGTTCACAATTTACAACCATTTTTTTTTATTCATCTCAACTCATGAAAATTTTACCAGGATTTTGTTAATGTTCAATATTATCTTTGATTTTCCTTTTTCTGATAGTAGGAGATTTAGCATGGTATGAATAATTTAAAAATTTAGAAAAATCTCTGCCTGGTTCTTTGATAGATTACAAAGTATCTCCACTTCTTTGATATCAAAACAAATCATAAGAACTTTCTTATATACATTTTTTTCACAATAATAATTTTGTATTCAGTTGTATTCGCATTTGAATTTGATTTCTCATATCAAACAAGAAAAATGTATGCTTTAAGAAAGTCCAAATTTTAATAATAAAATAGCACATAAAATATTTGTGTACTGTAGATAACATTATAATTATCTTTACTTTCTGGACATTAAATTGTAGTTACTTTTCAATCATTGCTATTACAATTTCTTCTTTTTTTTATTCAAAAGAAATTTGTCGATGTCTGTGTTTGAAAATTTGTAGCTATATTGCAAGTAAATTAGCATAGTTTTTTTTCCCTTAAAATATCTTGATTCTGGAATTTTTCTGCATAGAATACAAATAAAATAATTTTTTTACAGGTTATAAACGACACACATAAATTATTGTATTAAAATTCACAAAAGAAATGGTTTCCATTTATACTGTAAATTAATTTTTTATTTTGGGTTCCGGTAAATTTTGTTGTTTTTTGAGTACTCAAGTGATCACATCCCTCATGACTTGTTTTGATTTTATTTTTAGAAAAATGAATTTTTGTTTTCTAATTTTTATATAATTTTTTTCATCATTGACAACGAGATAAGTTGAATAATTTATAGAATAATTAGTATTTATACACGAAATTAATTATTGTACATGACATATATTTCCAAATCTTACCAAAAGTAATTTTTTATAGTTTTCTTATTTTCTACTTCCCTTTTTCAGGTAGCACGGAGACAGCCACTGATTTGTCTTGCAAAAGTAGAGTGGGGTCTGAAGCAGAAGATGATCTACGTCATGATGACGAAATGGATGACGAAGAGGATTTGTTAAGTGACAATGAAGACTGTTTGGACAAAAAATGTAAAAACTTTGATTCTTCAAAAGCGGGAAAACCTCGACGAGCGAGGACAGCGTTCACATATGAACAGTTAGTCGCTTTAGAGAACAAATTCAAAACGACCAGATACCTCTCTGTTTGTGAAAGACTCAACTTGGCCCTTTCATTGAACCTAACTGAAACCCAAGTAAAAATCTGGTTTCAAAATCGTCGCACGAAATGGAAGAAGCAGAACCCAGGAATGGATGTAAACAGCCCCACAGTGCCAGTTTCTTCAAGTGTGTCCACATTTTCTTCCCCCTACTCGTCTCTTTATGGACAGGGGCTCCATCCCTATCTACCTAGTCATAACTTGATGGGGGCGCTAGGGCTACTTCGGGCCCACCCTGCCTATGCCGGTCAGAATCATCCAATGTACTACCCCTACCTAGGACAGAGTACGTAATAAATATATCAGTCTGAAAAATTGTGAAAATGTGTTTTTGTGGAATAAATGATTCCTCTTTGAAATGGCTCGGATTCGTTTTTGCGGTTTTGAAACGTATTTGAACAAGAGAAAGGAACCATGAAAATATTCACAGCATTAGTGACTTTGGTGACGCGCTGTGAGTGATACTAAAGTACCCCTAGGGATCGATTTTTGATCTCGTGCAAAAGAACGGTAAACTAATATTTAATATTTATTCACCAGACTCATTATATAATGACGAGTTGTCACGGAGAAAATTTATTAATTGTACTGATTTCAAAGTAGAAATTTATATTTCCCTGTATATGTGCTAGTGATAATTTTATTGTAAATAAAGAGAATGATTTATGGATATCAGTTGTGTATCATTGGCAATTATCTTAATTATAATTTCTTGGATCACATTTTGCTACATGGATCGCGGATAAAAAGTGTACAGTAATACACTTTTTCAACAAATTAGCAAATATCACTGTCATCGATGACGCAAATTTGCATTGAAAAAAAATTCTCTTATATCCTCTATCGCGTAATGGCATTCACTTAAGTGAAAGAAAATTACATTGGTTATACTTGTCTGAATGTTTACGAGTAAAGACAAATGATCTACAAATGAGAAAAGTTTACTAAGTTAGCCAAGAGGGAGAGTAAATTCATCATTTGATTGTCTGACTGACACGTGTCCCCAGATCAAATCATTACATTTAAGTATTTGTAATTAAGAAGATTCCGTTTGATTAGCACTGACTTGACAGGGGCCCCGGAAATGTTAAGCGAACCGTTGCATGGTGATAGTGTCACATGACTTGTATATTGCTATATGAATGTTTTACTCACGCAATGGTTTTGTGATTTCACTTCCGATTGAGAAAGATAACTGTTATCTCCGAGAAAAAAAGGTATCGTCTTTATTACAATATGCATCATAGTTACATATTCCACAGTTAATCAAAACTTTTTTTTTTTGTGAAATCTATGGCTTAAAATGAGTCCACAATCATATTCCGGCAATATCGATGACGTTTTATCAATTAACAATAATAATTTTCATTCAAACGTTGATTCGATATAACCAATTGAACTCAAAATAAAAGACTCCACGGAGTTTGCATGGATGCACTGCTTAATATTTGGATATTTTACTAACAACTAAACTTAATGATAAACCTGATGACTTTTCCATCGTCAACTTCCCTAATTTTGGCAGTAATAGACCATTATCACCCGCGTATGGGGTTTATGTCTTACATTTGATTCGATATGCAAGAGCATGTTCTTACGATTAATTTTTAAATTAAGACAGGTTACTGACAAAGAAGTTGATGATACAAGGGTGTCTATAATTTCGCTTGAAATCAATACTTAAAAAATTAAATTACAAAAATTAAATGGTCTATTCATTGACCTCGTTAGCAAGTACAATCTGCCGTTAGGTCGAATGTTGACTGATGTTTTTCATACAAATTGTTAGGCCATTATTTTCTTACTGAAATGACTACGGATTTCTCCCTTCACCCAATCGTGGCAAAAAGCACACGGCGGATGTGACCGGTCAGCAGGGGATACCTACTCTTCCATGGCACCTGATCCCACCTCTGATGTTTTTAGAAGTCCGTGTTTGATCTGCTCACAATTTGTATTGTTTAAATGGAATTTTGAGCAGGGTTATATTCATATTTCATCCATAAAAATATGACAATCTACTGTAATGTGCACTGTGAGCCTTCCTCATATTTACACATGCAGTCATCAACATGAGAGAACCTCAACTGAGCGTTCCAAGAAAAAAAAACACTTCAAATGTATACTTCACAATAACTAATAAATTATTGACAATTTGACTTTTATCATGTACAGAAACTACAAAGTATCACTTTGATAAGCAAAACTTTAAGGACAGACGATAATACGTTCCTCAATAATATATAATTTTTTCTACGATTTTGTCATTGAAGTATTGCTACTTTAACATGTTTACTCGCAAAAAATTGAAGTACCTTGCCAGGTATTCGTGCAAGATACCAGAGGATGTTTTTCCTATAAAATCCTTTTGGGGAAAACTTAATAATCAATAACACATTTTTTGGTGTTTCAAATTTTTAAAGACAAATAGAAACCAGTTTAGAAATCAGAAGGTAACTAAAATTTTGAATATTTTCCACACAATACGAAGATATTCAAAACAGATATTTGAGGAACGTATCTTCTAACCTTAACAGTTGTAATGCCTTAAAAGAGTTTAAAGACAAAAATATGCAGTAAATCAATGATCCGCATTTCCCATTGTACATGTAAGTAAGTAAGTAAATATTTTATTATAGTGACTTGTGTATAACATAATTTTACATTCATTAGACAAATAAACATACAACAACCAAGTCACTTTTACCAACATAGATATTCATTGCATATATGAATCAGGTATCTTCAATATCTCAGTCAAAAATTCCAAATTACAAAGGAAAATAAAACTTAATTTAAAAAATCCTTTTTTAAAAATTTATTTATTTATTTATTTATTTATTTATTTATTTATTATTGAGATGCTGGAAATTTATCTTTTTTTATGATAAACATTTTAAATAATCAATCTAAGTAATCTACTGCAATGTGAAAAATCAGCCTTCTTAATTGTATTTACAAACAACATGTGTAAGATAGTAACTGTTTGAGAATTCAGAACGTTCAATTAACTAATAAATTATTGGAAGATCTGAGTTTTATTGTTCATACAGGAACTGTATAGGATTACTTTGATAAACAGAGGCAGTAAAATGGAAAATGCCTCAAAAATAAGGCGTAAAGGAAACAAGGCGTAATTATGCAATGATTTATGCATCAGTATTTTTATCTCCCATCAAAAAAAGGACTTATGAACATCAGATCGAACTTCTGAATATTCCAAATTACCAAGAAAAATTGTACACCCCTCAAAAAAGATAGGTATCTTTTTTTTCTTATTCTTTTAGATGCAGTTTTTTTTTTTTTTTAAATCTAGATTAAGATATGACTAATCTATTAAGCTTATATACAAATAATAGCTGGTATATTACACGTATCAGCTGTTTATGTGATCCTTATTATTGTTATATCATATCATTCTTATTAGTCATCACCTCTTAAGCCGTCGAGTGCCATTTAAATCAAAATCACACAAATAAAATATTTTTCCGTGTTTATGTAATTAAACAAATTTTACCACTGAATGTAAACGTTTAAGTCATGAAATCCAATGTTTAAGTAGCTTTTAAATATTTCTGGAATGGTTTTTACAAGTTAATTTGGGGATAATGCAGGTATGTTAAATTTTCCATACTGGCAATTTTCCGTATTGTGTAGGCAAAAAGTCGGGCGACAGGTGAAAGTTCTCAATTTAAATATTTTATGAAGTAAAATCATATATGCTCCTTGTGTTAAACTATCTTTTGACTGGGACTAATTCGCATCCAAGCCGTCAAATCAAACACATGTACCACAAATTTGCTTAGTACTGTATATTCTCCAAACTTATTTCATGAAACATATTTGTACATGACAAAATATTTTAAACTTCAAAAATAAACCAAGCCATATTTGTAGCACTTGTGGCATTGCAAAAACAATCAAATCAAGCCTTATATTCTATGCAATTTTTTAATAAATAATACAGTAAGTAAGTAATTGTTTATTTAAGTGTCACAATTCCAAACAAAATGTACTACCATTACAAATAAACAACACAATTACAATTGCATGTAAAATATTGGCATCCTGTCTCAAAGACATGCAAGACTCTAAAAAATGTATGAATTATAACTTTTCCCACAATTTTAAAATATTACTAGTTAGATTACATCAACCACAGGACTTATTTTAAAATATCTGTATGTTTCCTTCTTTTGTACATTAAAAAAATAATATTTTGGTTATCACAGTCTGTATTTCAATGTTCTTCATTAAAAAGTATAACATAACAATTTCACTAAACGAAGAATAACACATACTAAATAGACCATTTAGATATTGCTTCATTTACTGTCTCTTATACAGGAGAAAATATGACAAGGAAAACTATTCATTTACAGGAACTTAGATCTACTATCCGCATCACACATGGGGCACATGACATAGATTCCACACAACTGAAGAAAATCTGACAAGTTTAAATAAGTTTAAACTAACTGTGCGCAAGCGTTGGGAAAAATTATAGGCCTACTTCAAAATATTATAGATATTTACAAAAACGGGCCACTATAAACTGAGTCGTTTAAGAATACTTTATCTTGTTTTATTAGAATATCCTTATATTTAATTATATGTCTTCTTTTTTTTAAACAGATGTATATATATCTGTTTAAGAATACTGAATACTTAGTGGTGGTTACACTATTTTTAAACAGAGATTAAATACTCTGTTATATATATTATCAATTTTCCAGTTGAGAGAGGGGATGGGGAAAAAAGAACATCCGTTTTGTGATGTCTTTGATGTTATCAGTAAAAGATTATGGTAATTATTTTATACAGAATTAATCATATTACTTACATAGCATAATGATCAATAATAGATAAAGCCAACATATAATGCTAATTACATAAAGACTGTCTCTGGCGTTTAAATAGATTCGCCATTACTTCTGACGTGAAATGCATATCAACGATAATCACGTGACAATATTATGATTTACCCTTTGCTCATCAAACAGCAATTCGGATATCCAACGTCTTTGATTCTGAGCATTACAAAGGAAATATGGACCTTTAGAAATCAGCGTCTTCTCTCTGTCGAGCCGTTTTTCCTGTTTACATTTCTATGAAAAAGCTATTTCATGGTTTAATTGGCGTTTGTGGAGGGTTAAAACTACATCGTTTGGTCAGAAAATAGCTACTTATATTGAGATATATTTAATTGACTCAGTTAATGTAAATCGGAAATCTCAAGAGTTGTAGAAACTTGTTGAAAGATAATCTATGTCTTCCAGATGGATTAGGCCATAAAGCGATTTGATGACCATCCCAGCTGTATACACAGTACCATATGGATATGTGAGAAAACTCTGGGAACTTTAATTTTAGCGTAATTTATTTACGTTATTGATTCAGTTAAAAAAAGAAAAAGAAAGATTCCATAATTTGATGAATTCATAGGGATACATTTTGTTTTGTAAAGAAGAATATTTCTATACCTTTAAAAATTTGTTTTCTATATAAATCTACACTAAAAAAGTCTAACTATTCAGTGTTTTATTGAGCGGTCCAAAAAAAAATCGTTGTTGGACCGCTGAGTGAGATATTGGACCTTTCGATGAGATATTGGACCGCTATGACGTATTTTACGTCACACTGTGGGCGGGATCAGCTATAT